GCAGCCGTACAGCAGTGCCTCCATCACCTCCGCCTGGAGGAGGCGGATCTTGAGTCGGAATGGCGCAATCGGTCTGTCGAAGAGCTCCCGGCCATATCGCCTGAGGCACGCCCACGCTCCTCTGCTCCTGTAGTTGATCTCACGGGTGAGGTCGCCATGTTCGTTGACGAGGCCACCGAGGTGCCGGAACTCCGTCGTCTGGGCGTATTTCTGTCCCGCGGCTTCGACGGTCAGCGGTGAAGGGGGGGGGGGCTGTGGTGTTGTAGTCGGCTTGTCCTTCGCGCGCATCAGGAGTGTCTCCGTCTTCTTCTCCGATACCGTCAGCCAGAACTCCCCGAACACCTCAACGATGATGGTCATCATTCTGGCCAGTCCTTCTGCAGACCTCGATACGACGCCGGCATCATCGGCATATAGCATCCCCCATACTGCCCTCCGTACTCAGTCAAGGGGTGCCTCCTCCGCCCCCCCCGCTTCCGTCTTCCCCTCCTCCAAGCACACCAGGTTCCGCAGAACAACATCATCCTCGCTGAATCGGATGACAACGACCTCGAGGACCTCGGCGAAGAAGATGTTGAACAGCAGTGGGGATTGCACACATCCTTGACGCACGCCCTGTGTCACGAAGAACCAGTCCGATAGTTCTCCGTCGTCCGTGCGCACCCGGGCCCGCATTCCATCGTGGAATTGGCGGATGACTTTGATCAGCTTCGCGGGAATCCCGGCCCTGGCCAGCACCTTCCATAGCATCTCTCGGTCCACCGAATCATACGCCTTCTTCAAGTCGACGAAGCGCATGTAGAGCGGTATTTTCTTTCTCCGCCCCAGCTGCTGGAGCCGGCGCACGACGAACAGCATGTCGACGGTGGATCGCCCGGGTCGAAATCCGCACTGTTCCTCCGGGAGGATGTTGGCTTCGCAGAAGGCGCTTAGACGGTTGGTGATGATCTTGATGGGGAAATTTGCCTACGTGAGATAGTAGCGAAATCCCCCTGTAGTTGTTACAGTTGGACCGTCACCCTTCTTGTACACCTTGATGGTTGCATCCTTCCACTCTTGCGGAATATCTCCTCCGTTCCACACCTTTACGAGGATGGTATAGAGGTGCCCCAGGACGAAGGGTTCGTCGTCCTCGATCTTGGGCAACTCGGCAAGGAGGGAGTCATGGCCGGATGCCTTCCAGTTCTTGAGGCCTTTCGTTGCCCGTTTCACCTCCTCGAGTTCTGGCACCTCTCCCAACCGTTGAGTGCCACGTGTCGCTGGCCGCTGCGTCACTCGTTCGATGATGTCTGGGTTCAGGGTAGGGCATGTGGTGTTGAGCAGGGTGCTGAAGAATCTCGCCCACCGCTGGAAAATGTCGTCCCTGTTCCGGAGTAACACGCCGTTCTTATCCGCGACGAACTGCTGTCCCCCCGCTTGTCTCCCTCTGAGGCCCACTGATCTCTTGAGGTGTTGGTACAGTCCTCGCATGTCGCGTTCTTCGTAGATTACTTCGAGTTCAGTCACATATCCGTCCAGGTGGGCATAAATGCCCGTTTCGACTGCTGTAGCCACTCCCTTACACGCTGCTTTCAGAGCCCTCCACGTTGCTGAGTTCCAACTGCCCCTCATCGCTCGGCGCGCTTCCCGCCGTTTGGTAAGGGCCTCCTCCAGCACTGTTCTCGTCTCTGGGGTCTCACACCACTCCTGCGTGCGGCGTCTTCGCGGTTCCTCCCCTAGGGTCGTCCGCGCTGCTTGGAGGAGAGCCTTGGTATAGTCGGTCGCCAATTCCGCGGCGGTGGTTGTTCGCTCGTCCAGTCGTGTGTCGAGGTTGAGGAGGAATCGATTAGTCACCGCACACCGTGCTGCTTCGAACTGCAATTCCCGTCGATTGAATTGCTTCTGTTTCGGTTTAGTCGTTTAGTCCGGACTGCACGATTGTGGGCAAGCCTGCCACCGAGGTTGACGGCGGCTACTACCATATTGTGGTCTGAGTCTGCTTTGACTGGGCGAACCGGCTGGGGGATGACAACCACGATACTCGGCCGTGATGTGCCTGCCTTGTCAGGATGTAGTCAAGGCGCTTGCAATCGGTTCCCGACACACCGTTGTACGTGTGCCGTATTCCGCCCTTGCGTGTCTCCAAGAACGTGTTCGTGAGAGCTAGCCTGTTTTCCGTTGCGAAGCTCAACAGTAGCATGCATTGTCGTTGAGCTCATCACGCCCGTACATTCCTATTACCCTTCCGTCCCCTCCGTCCAACCTATCTCCCGTTCGCGCATTGGCGTCCATCAGGACATACACACATTCTTTGGAAGGGATCCTCCGCACGAGACTGTCAAGTTTTCCCCAGAACACGCGCTTGCTGTCTGCGGTTGAAGGTTCGGCTGGAGCATACGCGGCTACGAAGTTGACCGCTTCACGGTGGCCTGCCAACATAAACCTCATGGCCATAAGGCGTTCGTCAATAAACTCCGTAGTGAACGTGGATGTCTTGCACAGTCACTCTTTGACGGCTATCCCCACACCATGGGCTCCACCAGTCTCCGTGCCACAGCACAACACCCGGAAACTCGCTGCTGCAAATTCCATTCGACCTGCCCTCCGTGTCTCCTGCATTCCTACCACCGATACGTCTTGTCTCGCTGCCTCGTGTAGAACGCTGTAGGCTCGCCCGTACCCATTGGCCCCGTTTACAGCCAAAGTCCGCACATTCCAGGTTGCTACCCTAAGAAGTTGACCCTGTTGTCTCTTTCGCGCGGCGCGCGCTGCTCTCTTAGCTAGCGTACGCGCCGCCCGACCCCTCCTTTTTCTCCATCTTCCCCTCTTTTTTTTGTTTTTTGATATTTTCTTGCGAATAGTCGGGCTAACGTGACAGTTACCCCGGTTCTTGCCTTGTTTCCCATAGAGTTGTCTTCTTTTCCCGGAGCGGTGTGGCCCTCCAGCTCCGGACTCTCTCCTGTCCTCTCTCTGGGGCATACCCCCACGGCGTGCGGTCACTCCACCACCCTCACCGTGCTCTCTGCTGCTGCATAACCCCGGTCTCTAAGCCGGGGCGTTAGGATCTAGTCTCATTTTGCAGCTACCAAGGCTGGCGGTTCACGAGCTACCCCGATCTCACGACAGCAGTTGTAACTCGTAACCGTCAAACTCAGGATCCCCCTCTCAACAGTGCTAGGGACCGTATATCCGTCTTTGCTGGGTGGTCTTTCGAGGTCTAGATCCACTGCGGAACCTCGGCCTACCCCAGGGACGGGGGGGGCAGGCGGGGGAGGTAGACAGTGTGGTTGATGGGCCATGAATGTCGAGGTCAACGGAACTTTTCGGCGACATATTTCGCAGGGAAGATCCGACTTGAACATTGGATTAGAATCTCGAACCACAGACGGTGTTGATATGCATGCGAGATCTCAGCAGGAGCATTGTTTTTTGTTATGTACAAGCCACGGCTACGGCGGTGCTGCTGTCGGTGTCCAAGAAACCTCGGTGTGGAGGTGCATATACATATATATGCTACTTGTATTGTACTTGGGCCATGAGTGTAGAGGTCAACGAAACTTTTCGGCGACATTTTTCGCAGTCTTGAAGATCCGACTTCAACATTGAAGAAAATCTCGGGCTGTCTTCACGCAGCAGGTGTTTGCTCTGGAACAAGCTGGCAGCCTGCTGGCATGTAAGTATGTCCAGCCGCAATTCATTTCCTGTGGAGTGCACTACACACGGAGCAGTGCGTGCGAGTACCTTACCTTGCTGTAATGCTATATGTGTTGCACATCAGCGATCGATGGATCGTGGGTTATATTTCGGCAATTTGCCATGCCCTTGGAAGATCCTACGACTACTCGCAGCTTGTCAAGAAAGAATATCACAGCTCCAAAATATCTTAATAAAATACGGTGTGTTCACGTCGTCGTCGGCGTCTGCACGAAACTAAGAGGGGGGTCTCTGTTGGAGTATTTGTGTACAAGAACGACTGGTTCTACTGCATGGGTTCTGTGCAGTATTGTGAAGGCGTGTTTCCAAGTCTGTAACTGTCAGGTGAAGACAGCTTGGGCGTCTGAGTGTGGATATACAGAGCCGGCCCGCACTTAAGAATATGGACGTTAAGAATTTGAGCCTCAAAAAATCCAATTTTTAAGAACTTGCCCCTAAGAACACGTGCTCAGATCGGACCTGCTGTTAAGAATAAGAACCCCCAGTGAGGTGTACGACTGGTTCTACAGATAAGAACATATATGACGTGACGCGGTGGCGAGAGAAGAACATACACAGCAGGAGGAGGAGGTGGGGGGGGGGGCGTTCCCAGGTTTTTGGGTAGTCGGTACCTACCTAGACTTCCCTTTCTAGATTTTTTTAAGGGTTATAATCAGGGGGTACATATGCTGTATACATCGTGCCCCTGTGCCAGCGCGGAGGGGTTTTTTGTTGATGTTTCAATTTACTCGAAGCAGCGTGTGCAGCCTGCCACGAGTTACCTGCCGTGCAGGGGGATCATGTCCCTGTCCAACCCCTTATCCCACGGGTTGTTGAAGGATCTTGGCAAACTCTCGGAGATGAAACAACGAGGACTGATTCTTGACCGTCACTTCGAGACGATCAAGGCACATGTGAAGGCGGTAAAGAGATGGACAAGTGGCTCGATCAGTCGGACAACATCGAGAGGTGGGAAACCGCGTCGCTGACAGCTTCTGACCGGCGCGTACTGATCACTCAATGGACGGGAGCGGCCATGGCAAAACTCAACAGCAATCAGGGGTACCGACACCGCCTTTTCGAAAAGTGCGGGATGGCGATGACCGTGGACGGCTCAGGCGATGATCGAATCACCTTGGAGGGTTTGGACCAGCCGTACACCTTCGCAAACGATGAAGACTCCAGCGAGAACGAAGGAGGTTCGGAGGACGTCAGCGATGGGCCCGAGGGGCGGGAGGAGGAGGGCGCCGGAGGGCGCGAGCCGGTCGTCGGAGATGAGCGCAACGGTGCCAACAACGGGGAGGGCGTGGAGGACGCTGGATACAGCGATGAAGACGACGACGGTGAGTTTGATTGGCACTACATAGACTACAGCTTATTCATCTTTACCGTTGTTGATTGTCCTTTTTGTTCATTTTTCCTTGTGCTGTTTGGGATATTGCTGATATTCTGTTTCCGCGTCACGTCTACGAACACATGGTGTGCTTCAGTTGAGTAACGGCGATGACACCCGTACGTTCCTTCTCGTGTCTCACGGTACCCTTTGTCGCAGACATGTCTCAATCCCAGACCGACGAGCTAGCTCTTTTGGACGAAGACGACAGCATGGACCCAGACGACCCGGAGGACGAGACGCAGGGAATGGAGATCCCGGCGGGCTTTAGCCTCCAAGAATCTACCCCCGCTGCTCTTGACAGATTGCTTTTGCAACGTGGAGTGCTTGTTAGGCTGGGCATGGGGTGGTTCGGTGGGTTGATCATTCAGCAATCTCCGCAGCGCCACCTGTACGACTACTGTGTGCAGCTGGAGGTAGACCACAGTACGCGCAAGATGAAGCTGCCCTTGGACAAGTACAGCGGAGATCCGGACGCGGCGATAGGCTCGTGGGTTTTGCTTGAGAGCGTCAGTAGGGCGGGAAGGGTACGCACCCCCAACGTCACTCTTGTGGACCAAGACGGTTGACAGTTACCCCATATGAGGGGGGTGTTTGCGGCATGAAACTCTGGGTCGAGTGCAGTTGAGAGTAGTGCACCAATTGAGCATTCGATGATGACAAAAGAACAAGAACACACCTTTTCTGGAGAACTGGACGAGGAAATAAGAACTTAGCAAATAAGAACTTGTGCTCTGCTTGGGGCAGCCAACAAGAAGCGAGCCTCGCTCCAAATAAGAGGTTCTTAAGTGCGGGCCGGTTCTGTAAATCACTCTGTGTTTACCCTACCTACACCTCGCATAAAACAACGCCAGCAGCTCGAGAGGACAGTGTCCCTCGCTGCACAGCGTAAGCCACTTCGCCCAACAGTCTCTCTGCTTGCTGACTACACAACTATCAGCCGCACACCTACCTCAGTGTAAATAGTCTGTGATGGGTGGCGCTACTTTAGATATGAGTATGGATGCATGCATACAACGCCTGTGGATTTAAGACGGCACGCGAACAGGTATGTGTATATCCAGTAAGTCGGAACGTCATCGCGGAACGCAACAGCTACAAGATGTAGCTGCTCGCTCTATTCTCTCTTCTTCGTGCCCACCCCCCAATCAACGTCAAAGATGACATACATACAAGAAAACGCCTGCCATACGGCACTTGATTGAGCGACAGATGATCATGATGTGGACAGACTGACCGTGGTCGTTCGCATCACCAACCAATGAACAATACTCCGTTGTAAAAATAGGAGATTTTATGAACAGGCACAACTCGGTCGTAAAATCTCCCTCTCCGATGTTTGATTCGTTGACTCTGCTGTGTACACTTATTTCGTTCGCGGGGCGCGTATACCACATACCACACCCACCCGAGCAGAAGCAAGCAGCACACAGCAGTGGCCAAGTGTGTGTGTGTTGGATCTATCTCTTCTCGCGTAGTCCGTAAGAAACATCCTGGCTGTAGGCAACAAAGACACGCGACAGCAGTACATGCATTCGGTTTGCTGGTGTGAACTACGATATGATGGGTTCATAGCTGAGTGAGTTGACACGTACCCTCTCGGTACATTCAGTCTCACTTTATCGTGCAAATTATTTTTTCAAGATTTCAAGACATTTCACCTGCTGACCTGCCGTACGTAGGGTGGTCTCCTCGCTTGATGTGTTGCGGCTCTTCCCGGAAGGAGGACGAGCGTTTCGGCGAAATTCGCGATCTCGATCCCACAAGAGAGAGGCGGGGGTGAGTTGTGTCCGGGTGGAAAGGTGTAGGGCAGGTACAACAGAGAGAAGGAGGAGGTTCACGTTGGGAGGGTGTGGCACACCACAACACAACACTGACTTCCACACACGTGAGTGATGAGGAGAAGAAAAAAAAACAGGAAAAACGAAAAGTTCTTCCGTATATCCCCGGGGTTTCCAAGCTATTTGCATGTATTACCATATTCTTTCGTACCGTATAAATAGCGGCAAACCCGGTGTAGTTGGTGGTTATTTACCGGCTTACCACACCATCCAGAGCTGGAGAAGTACACCATACACCCCGTCCTGAAGGCCCTCCGACGACGTGCACTTTAATCTTCTGCCCACGACGTGGGGAATACATTGACTTCTGGTCATGCGGAGTTCACTGTCAGCGTTATACGTGTTCGTGTTGTTGTGGGATGGAGTCGTCGCGTTCACAGCTGCTCCAAAAGCACCACCGCAATCTCGAGTGCCGTCCTTCAGGAATCAACGCCGCCGCTACTACGCAGGAGTGGCAAGCACCCGCCACCGCCCCACCAGGACAACGTGCGCCGCTTCTGACCCTTCGTCGGAGCTGGTGCTAGACCCGTCCCGGCGCAGTGATGATGATAGTACTTTCAACGACATCGAGGGCATCTCCAACGATGATGATGCGCGATTATCGCAGCGGGCCTTGCTGCTCGCGACAGGAGATTCCGAGAAGCAGCAGGAGGAGGAGAAGGAGCAAGAGGAGACCGGGTGGGTTGGGGAAACGCTCAGCAAGGGTGCGGAGGCAGTGGTCAGCGGGGTGAAGAGTGCGGCCCGGGCTTCGAAGCCGTTGAGACGAGAGGCTGATGGTCGCATCGTGCCTGATGGAGACGGATTGTTGAACTTGGTGAGTTGAATGTTGATGTTCGGTGTGGGCGTGGTTTGCCGGTTTGCGTCTGGTGGGATACATAGCATGTGCATCATGGGTTGTATGCTGCTGGTACCCATCGGAGGACAGCGGTTATCGAAGGACAGCAAGCCTCGGGGGGGGGGTGTATGGATAGTTCGCCCTCCTCTTCGCACGGCCTCCCGTTGTACATGGCGTATCCTTACCACAAGTTCGATAGCGCCTGCCGGGGATATCAAATTACACCGCTCACATTGGCGTGTTCTTCAATCCACGGCTCAATTCAAGAGCACGTCAGCAGTTAGTGAATAACCAGAGATGTTTGACCTCAACCTTGGGTGCACAGCAGCGGCCCGCAAGGCCGCATGCAGGCTCAAAATAAACCTTGAAAGCCATCAATCGACAGCAGTCGCACCTCTTACGATAGACAGTGGACCATTTTTTATTGCCCGCTGCCAACCTCTACCGTACTACTTCGAAGGTACGGTGTGGATTTACGCTACGGTTGCCTTGGAGATTCACTGGATGACATGAGGTCCGAGGCCTCAGCACAACGCTTTTATACCAGAGACCCCGAGGAGCTCAGATGAACGCGCCACTAGAGCAACGCGAAACCCGTTGAATACGAACAGCTCAGTAGTTTGGTGATCTTCCATATAGGTCGAAATGTTGGAACTGCTGTTTTCTTCTTCGCCGCTCCTGCGAACACTGGGTGGTCCGGTGGTTTGATGGTGTTGTACAGCCGACCGTAACCTTGCGAGCGGTTTGGCAGAGTCACTGGCGGGTTGGTTATGTGGCAGTTCGTTTTTTCGCTTCCCACCAGAAGGAGGAGGTACCAAGAGCTGAGACGGGAAATCGACGACCTAGGACTACTGACCAGAAGCAGAAAAAAACACCGCTGCTGCAGCAAGATCAGCAACAACGGACGGTGGTGTAAACACACCAGACGACGAACACGCACATTGCCCTGCTCTATACAATATAGTTGATGGTGGGCGCCTGTTGTTTTCGTTGTTGTTTGTTATTTGCTCATTTTTAGCTTTTGGGCAACCACGCCACATGTAAGACTGATGCCTTGCATTTGTCCGCCGGGGTGTAGCGCATCAGCCGAGATGCTAACCAGGCATCCTTCTGGACTCCGCTCCACACGTGCCGTTCCTGATGCGACCTGCGCCCTCGTGTCGGAATCGCACCACCCACCCATCGACTCTCCCCCTCGCAGTGTATTCTGGTGTTCTCGGGACTATGGATCGTGCACTCCATCGTTACCGTTGACGCCACCATGTGGAGGGGCTGGACTCTCCAAGGTGCGAGCTGTCGCGTTGTTGCCGTTTCCGGTCGGCTCTCCGCCAACGAAAGCGGCTGTGTGTAGGGTGCGGTTGCCAAACTTTATTGTACCGAAAACGAAACACGTTTGGCTCTTTTTTGGGTCCCGGTGACGGACTCTGGTTGTTGGTTCTCGAGCCGCGTGAATATAGCTCTATCGCGGACCTCTTCTCGAGGCTGGTCGTTGTTGTTCCTGTGTCCGCCGTATTTGTCGTGCCTGATGCGGTAGGAAGAAGCCCCCGCTACAAGTTGGAAAACCAACGCAATGAGTTTTGTAGATGAGAGAACCTTCAAAGGCTTTTTGCACCTTGCATCCGTGAGGTGAAGATGCTGACGATTGCCCACCAGTTGCTGGTCGAAAATTGTCGATCGCAGGGGCTAGTTTTAGGTTGACAATAGCAGCAACGACGCCGATTTCGGCATTCAATATACATTCCATGTGTCTAGCCATCAACCATACATGGTCCTAAAGGTTATGGCGGCGGCTTGATGCTTCAAGAGTCCATGTCGTGTTGGTTAGTCCCTTTCCCCCAACAACAATGTCGACACGACGCTCCCTCGCGGCACGACACGCTAGCACCCGATTGAGCCATGGCGTCATGGTGCCTTCCTCGCAGAAACGTTGATACGGCTCCCTTGGGACAACTGGGACAGCTACGAGATGGGTCTGCTGGAGCACCCGATCATCACGAAGACCGCGATCAACGTCGGCATCTACCTCATCGGCGATTGGCTGTCGCAGGTGCAATATATTCCCGTGCGATGGTCACAATCGTTTAGTTTGCAGGTGCCTTGAAGACTAGCCCGGGTTGTGTTGAAACCCACAAACGTGCGCTACAATTGGCTTTTGACGGGGGGGGGTGTTCCCTTTGTTGCCCGGGGCATGGGGAGGCTCGATACTGTTTTCCCACCGGACTCAATTGTGGAGCTCCTTCCCTTTGCCACCAACGTTGCATAGCCTCAAGATGTAGTGGACACATGTAACTGCTTCGCCTGATGGAATGAGCCTGGTCCTTTGACATCCTAATAGTTGGTCATCAATATTTTCCATCTATTTGTTTTATTCTTTGTGGTCTTATAGTGTGTTGCAAGCGGCTACCTCAAAGGATTTAATCCCATTCTGCAAGGAGAAACGCGTCTCATGTATTTTGCTGTGGGTGTTGACTAATACCCGGGTTACAAGACGTGAAGCTAAACGTACCAGCTGGCGCAGCTTACCAAACTGCTCCTGTTGCTACTGTACCTGTACACTTGGCAATCGATGTATTGTGACCAACCCTTTGTGAGTGGGTGAACGGAGGAATCGGGGGAACTACAGTACATAACGCACGCCAAACCCTCCACTGCGAATCCTGTTCGATGAAGGTGAAATGGGGAAGAGAAGAGGACGTGGCTCTGTGGGAGTTTGACCTCCAACGGACCCTGAGGAACGGCTTGATCGGTGCATGTTTCGGTCCAGTGGTGAGCGTTTTTTTCGCGAAATGTTTGTCGGGCTGTCGGTTTTGTGTTGCTCAAGTTGCGGCATTGGATCCCAGTCGGCGCTTTTGGTTCTTGATGTGTGTAACTGGTGCCGATGGTTTCTGATTCTCTCTCTCTCTCTCTCTCTCTCTCTCTTTGTTTTCACATGTCGCGCACGTTCGCATCGTGTGTGAGTTGCAATGTGTGCGTGTGACTGCGCTAACCGTAGTAGGTCACCGAATTGTACGCCTGGTTTTTGTATTTGGTGCGTTCTAGACCCCAAGTTAGGCATCTCCCATCACATCACCTCGACCTTTTACGAACCTCAGATTGGATGTAATTGGAGTACATATATGATGTGGCATCAGCAATGTATCTCCTCGTTTGTTATGCTAGACTACAACCGCTCTTGTTTTTGGCCTCTATCAGCCGCTATTTTACATCACGTTGACAACACTGGCTGTGTTGTAAAAGCGGCACAGGTAGGTGGGTAGTCATTTGCGGAATATCCTTGCTGCTTTCGGCAAAGCCCCTGTGTGTCTGGCCACTATTTTGGACTCGACGTAAAGTTTTCGCCGCAACGTATCAAGGAGCGGTCATGACTAAGCAGCTTGTTATTCGCATCTGGTTTGCGCAGGTTCACTTCTACTACAACTTCTCCGACTGGGTCCTCCCGCCTAGTGTGCCGATAAATCGACCCTTCAAGATTATGCTTGACCAGTCCATCTACTTCTGCTCCAAGTGCGCCGTCTATATCTTACTGGTGAGATGCATCATCGTGCCCGCACACGCAAGCGCTTTCGGGAGTTTTCTTGTGTGTGTTATGTTTTTTTTTGCACGTATTGTGGTTTTAGCTATCGATCCGCTGGTCATCTTCATCGTCCGGCAAACTATGCACTCTACGCTCGAGACCAGATTCAAACGCGCCCGTCGCCCCTCTGTTGCTTTTGTCGTTGTGGCAGCAGTAGTTGTAGATGCTGTTGTCGTTGTCATAGCCTGCGCTCCAAGAAACGTTGTGACCTGTAACCAACATATGCCGACATTCCGTTCCAAACCAAGCGGTATTCCGTGCCAATCCAAGCGGAAAGAACCAAAATCTCACAAAGAGGATTTGTACCGACGACCGAGAAAAAGTCATTTCTTCTACTCGCGGATTGTTTCAGGATATTAAGCATTGCTGCACCGGGTCCTCCTAGAGTCACTTCAAGAGCGTCATCGCTGGCCCGTCACTTGGCTGCCCGCCTGAAGTAGTTCTGACGCCCCCAGGAGTCTTCCCTGTCGACATCATCCTGTCAACGAGAAATCGCCAAAACAATTGTATTCACCTGCTGCCGAGGCTTGCTGCGGTGTAGGCTCGCAGCCCACCGGGCAAATCTTGGCGTGTGCAGCAATGACGGCCAAGCACAGCGGCATCTGTTATTCGAGACTCGCTCACGGTCGCCACGGCCGCGTGTGCGTCGTTGTTCTTGGTATGCATGTGTTGTTGTTAGTGTCTTCACATTCAAAACCGTTCCGCCTCCACTCAGTACCTTCTAATGTCCGTACTGGTCCAGCTGACGCGGACGCCTTCGGTGGTCACAAGCCAGTACACGCGTCAAAAGCGAAGGGAAGAACATCTGCCTCGGCGGTTGAATAATTTGTGATTTTGTTCTTATTACAGTTTTTTTGTTGTTGCGAAAATAAACTGTCATTTTTTTTAACGCACGCCACGCTCGCTCAGGTAAGCTTGTTGCGAGGGGATTCGTTCGAGGAGGCGAGGGGCACGGTGAAGAAGAAGCTCAAGGGGGTTGTGACGACGGGGTGGCGCTTCTGGCCGTTCGTCCACATCTTCACCTACTTCTTGATTCCGCCGAGGCACCGCGTGCTGTGGGTAAGCGGGCTAACTGTGATCCTATTATTTTTTTCTCGTTGCTTTATAGCAGCGCTCCCACGCATTTTTTCTGCCGGCACCGCGTTGTGGGTATGGGCTAGTTGTGGTACTTTTTTTTTTCGTCGCTTTATAGCAGCGCTCCCGCACAGCATTTCTGCCGGGTAGGTTCCGTGGTCACACACAAGGTTCCTCCCCTTACCCACCTCCCGTGGTGCTTAACCTTATTGCACCGGCGCTCTGCGCGTCGCGCGTTGCTGTCCGTGTAGCGTAGCAGGCGATTGGCGTTGTCCATCAAGCGAAGAGCGACAGCCTTGTCGCTTGGGGTTGATATTGTTTCGGTTGTCTCACAATGTACCCAGCACCAGACGAACATATTCGCCGGGGGAGGTGGGGATGAACCTGAAAACGGCCACAGCTGCCCCAGTCGCATTATTTAAAACAATACCAACGCGTATGCATAGTTGACAACGAAGTTGTTTTTTCCCTCGGTTGTCGATGCATTTGTTTCTGGGCGTCGCTCTAGGTCAACTGCGTGGATCTTTTGTGGAGTTCGATTTTGGCGGGCATGACATCGGGGGCACCTGCTCCTGACGAGGATGCTGGAGAGGGAGGGGGAGAGGGAGAAGAGCTGCTGACCGCCGCCCCCGTGAGCTCTACCACAGAGCAGCAGCAGCAGCAGCAGCAGCAGGAGCAAGCTAGGGTTTGATTACGACGCTCTTTCTGGCCAACGGCCACGCGAAAGAAAGAAAGAAAGAACCCCCATCGTTTTCATGGTCTTGAGCAGGAGGCGGTGCCGAACAGGCGGTCGGATAACGTGGGATATTAGCGCTCGCGGACCCTTGCCGGAAGCTCAGCTCTGTCTCCAGGTTGTACACGTGATGGGAGGTTTCGACTAGCAAGTGGTGCTTGCGTTCGACCGTCGGGGTGGGTGGGTGCGGGAGGTGTTGCTGGAGACCGTGAGGAGTACAGGCTGGGGGGGGAGGACACAGGCCAAGAGGAAACCGGTTAAAATGATGCGTTGCTGCGAGAGATAAATCGTGCTGATGGACGTTTTTGTGTGATTCGGGACCCGTTTTTGTGGTGGTGTGCGAGAGCCTGGAACAACTGCAAATCACTTGGTTGTGCCGTTGAGTTGGTGATAATTCGACTGTAGATGGATTCGTTGCGCAAGTCGTGGCTTGAACTTTGCACTCCATTCTCGACACAGCGCACTTGGGCTTGTCCAAAGTTGCCCTCGCTCAGGGGAGTAGCTGGGAACACCGCTAAGCACCGAGATTTGCACCTCGTCATTTTGCTGTGCTCATGGGTGTGGGCGGGCAGCAACGGGACTGACTGCTGTGAAGTCCGAACGTGAGTGTTCCATTCGAGGCTGGCCAGAAACGAACTATGGGGAAGATATCCTTTGGTTGTTCCAAGACGAAGTGGGTTTACGCCGTTGTTTGCAGATGGGCGTTATGAGTGATGATGAAACTTGACCGCTACTGTTCGTATTGAAGCGAAAGGTTTTGCCATGCGTGTACATGTCTTTGGGTGTTGGATTTTTGTCAGATTCGTTGTTTTATTGAATTATTTGTTGTGGTTGGGCACACCGACAAGCATGGTGGGGCGCGCCCTTGTGGACCGGCGAAGCTCTCATGTGCATAGTATTTACGTTGTATAAGAGTCGCATGAGCGAGTGCGTACATGCACCAAAAACGATGGTGTTCATCGCTCGGTGTTACTGCGGTAGCTTTAGAATAGACAATAGATAAATGGAAAACCCGCCAACCAGCGGTTATCCACGTGTAGAAGGCTACGGTTGGGCGTAGACATCTGGAATGGATGGTGATTGGTCAAGAGTGTTTGCGGGGCAGCCATCCCTTTCGGAGACACGTAGAGCAAGACGGTATTTAGCGTCGTTTCAAGACGTGGATGGTTGCGGTTTGTGTCAAGTGGGCATGGATGCGATGACTCATGCTTGTCGCTGCCTCTGGATGATGTAATGATGAAAAGAAGGGTACCTTGATTGGTAGCGTTTGTTTCCCAGCAGGAGGTGTCAGCTCAAAACCCGATGAAAAGAGCCTCGCCGCACCCTCTTGAATCGCTACCGGTAGTTTTTTTTGCTTCCTGTTGATGTGCGTGTCATGCCAACTAACTATATTGTTTTTGGAGCGACCGCTCAGAATGTTTTCTGGTGTTTCCTCATGGACGGATCAGCCGGTTGCTTTCCGGCCACACCGGAGATAGATGTCTTCTTCCGCCCGTCTTCCTTCTGCGGTGAACAGAACGCGCCACCACTCACTGGCTTGAAATTGGAAATTCAGGCTCAAACGTACCCATTTGCTTACATCTATCCAAACGTTAGAAGGTCGGAGGTACTTGCCAACAACTTTTACTATGTACTTTTTTTGCTGACCAACCGTGCGCCCGTACGTGATGCGAGAGGGTGAAGTGGCATGGAGGAAACATGAAACGGACATAGACAGCAATACAGTTGGAAATATGACGATCGGCGGCAACAACGCTGTTTGGTCTCGACGCCCAAACCAACCTCATCCTCGTCGGTTTTGTGTCATTTTCCTTCCTTTCGCATGCCCTTGCGAGGTTCGTCTGTTCTTGGACACCCTCGCAAAAAAAATGGCGCCCAGAAGAAATGCTTGTTGTAACCTTTGTGTAACCGTGCCCTTTGTTGAAACCTCTTATGCGAATTTCTTGGTGAACACAATGTAAGACTTTCAAAACGAAAACAATGAGCAACCAAATCATTCGAATTGCCAACACCCAACACCACGGCGATGACGTACGTGCGGCATAAAAACATAAAAACAGCAACTACGGGCAATCGACTGCTGTATAGATAGCGACGATGTCTGAGCATAAACACATGATAATGGAGAACATAGCAGCGTTTAGAGAGGCACACACTGCTGTACACAAACATCATACAGAGAGGAGGGGGTGGACACTAAGGACGGGGGGGAGCGAGAGCCAGCACGTCAACGGCGGTTACACGACGTTTCACGAGAGGCGCGGTTGGCTTCTTTGTCACGAAGCTCTCTACAAACTCCCTGATGGATTCCCATCTGCGTATCCCCTCCCTCCACCGTCGAGACGGAGTTGGGAGGGAAGGCCTTAGTTCTGCTTGTACCGGTGGGAAGTATACATCAACTTCCCGCTCAGAGTCAGTATCACGGGAACAGCAGTAGTCGTTGGGAGGTCGTTGCAACATCGAACAGGAGGGAGAGGAGAAGAGACAAGTAGAAAAAAAGGGAGCTGCAAAAGGCATCGTGTGCGCAGGCAGCACTGCGGTCTTCGGGGAGAGCTCGGGTTGCAGCGCACCCTAACGCGGACGACCTGCTTGGGGTCGGGGCGACCGTCGTGAGAACAGCAGGCCTAAAGGATGAGCTACGCGTACCTGTTCAAGTACATCATCATCGGAGATACCGGTGAGTTTTAGCGTTAGGGGACGTGAAGCCGCTGCGCGTTTGTCGCCCCCGTTGTGGTGTCTTGAACAGCAACCCAGAACACGCACGATCCCTCACCTTCCTGTTCCTGTTGCCCTTGGGTTTGCGATACAAAGAGCTGTGCCGTAAACATATTTATCGACAACAAAGCGGCAGCGAGAGAGTGCCTGAGAGGTGTGGTTCACGGGCCATCCACCAGCTGCGTGAGATGCAAAATTTCAGGCGAGGTTACGACGAAGGGGTAGTTGCGGCGGACACACGCGAAATGCTGTGTGTCAAACAATTCTTCAGCATTCACCCGCGCGCTCTTACTTTCCCAGCGTATGAAAGGGTATTTAGCATACATATGTACAGGAATACAAACACGGCCAAAGTCCGAACAAGGGCAAGTGCGAGAACAAGAGAATGTCAACTCTATGCGAGAGGGGGTAATGCAAGACAGCAAGCAGGGCACGCGTTGGGTATCGTGGGTTATGCAGGAAAAGAGAAAAAACAACTCGATGGCTGCATGTACCAGGTGGCAGTATGAATGCATGCACGTCCCGTCTTCGCCAACCCTAACCGCCCCCCCCCCGCCGGGTGTTGTACTGCTCCCTGCAGAATGAACCACCGCCGTGTACGGCACAACATAACACACCCACATTAGATAACACCCTCCCTCGCGACACAGCAGCACCACGCCTAGGGTGATTTTTTAACTCTCAGATCAAGTAAATATGGCGACGTTTGACGACCCCCCCACACACGAAAGTGTTTTTGTAGGAAGCCAAATTGTCAACATCACCGCTCTTGTGTTGTTTGTTGTGTATTGTACGGTACTAGAGCTAGGGCGTTCGCCGTGCCTTTGGTCTATTGTTACCCTGTAGAAGCTTGTTCAGCATGTGTATGCACAGCACATTTTGCAACTGCAGCGTATATTTGCTGATTCAATAAGTGGGGCCGGAAACTCGAAAACACACACAAACGCACCCGGGGCCTTGCTGCGTGTCTGGTTTGCTGAGAGGCAACCCGGGAAGAGAGTAAAGCTCGGCGATGGACCAGATACAGAACGCGCCCGCCCTTGAGAACTTCTAGTTTCGGTCGAGGCTGGGTTTCTTACTGTATTCCTGGGTCACGCTACGAATGGTCGCTATATAGGTTTTAGTGCAGGGGTTCTTAACCGAGCTCAAAAATTCTGCTCAAGTTCTGAAGTTTTGGTGTTTTTCTTGGCTCATTTTCTTAACTCCCGGGTTCTTAAAGTACTGGCTTGTTCTGTATTCGGTGCCTGCGGTCCTGCTGCTTGTCGCCAACCATGCAATATAGACACTCTTGTGCGCTACGGCAGTATGGGTCCGCTCTAGACTCAAGGCTAGGCGTTTTTTCAATGTGTCTAACTAGATGCGTGGAAGGCGAGGCGTATTCGGGAAAAGAGACGTGAACGCGCCAAAGGTGGATTTTCGCTCGCTGGACCTGCCGTCAGTATGTACAGCATTTTTTGGCAATACTACTCATGATAATGCCGTCTCTGTACATTCGAGCGGGGAGGGGGAGAACGAACGTACAGATCTTCCCTTGGGCTTACTGCCCCGTTCCTGCGGGCTGCTGTGGTGTGCGCTACCTGTATCGCCGCTGCCCAACGCCCTTTCCCATCGACTCCGGGGACCATTTGCCACCCCTTCCCCAATCAACCCATGGCGTATCTGGTTTGACACAACAAACGCAAAGAAGGATAGTTCCCTGCTTCTGCTTCATCCTTTTAAACGTAGCCTGGGCCGGCGAAAACCCGGCATACCCCTCCGCCCAGGCATTGTAGGGATACGGGGTCTATGTTCTCCGACTATGACATGCGTTTACGTGAGTAGCACCCCTTCCCCCCCCCCCCCCGTGGTGCTGCATTAGGCCTGGAGAGCACCGCTGCAAAGGTTAGGGTTCTCCTTGTGATTTGTATGCGGATGCGACCTGTCGTGTTCCCACGCTTTACCCGAGGTCGACATTTCAACCTGCTCTCCTGCGCGTGGTGTGCGCACACGTGTGACATGCATTAGCATCATCTACCGCAAACGACACCAACGCTCCACCCACCTCCCTCCTTCCCTCCCTCCCTGTATGTGCGTACCACATTTTTTCTGTGTGTGTTTTTTTATTATTAGCATCGACCGCGCTAACTAACCGGCTGACAAATTTGTGTGTGTGTGTGTGTGTGTGTTTTCGGTGCAGGTGTCGGCAAGTCATGTTTGCTGCTGCAGTTCACCGACAAGCGGTTCCAGCCCGTGCACGACCTCACAATCGGCGTAGAGTTCGGGGCGCGCATGATAAGCATCGACAACCGACAGATGAAGTTGCAGATCTGGGACACGGTGAGTTTATACCGTATGGTTGTAATATGTATGATACCAACAAACGCGCCTGGACCGATTTTCAAAGCCTGGCAGGAACAACAGCAGTGGCGGTGGTGGTGCTGGAAATGGGTGGCATTGGAACTGTCTCTTCCAGAGCTTTCCGAAAAAAGTATCGTTGTATTTCGGTATGATGTTCGTCGTGGAATAGCAGAGGATTGAAATTTGGTCTAGGGGGCGTGGCATGTTGTGGAGCAATAAGCTTGCTGAGGACAGGTTGTACATATGCTCGAGCAGCTCTGTTGTCGCTGCTGCTTCAGACGGCGAGGACGGGGCGTGTGGGCGTCTTGGGGGGGGGGGAACCTTGTGCTGTTTTTTGGCAATATCTTGGTTGACCCTGTTACCCACGGGGGAGATTATCACTGTGTGCCGCTCGGGAAATCGCGGAAAAATAGAACTTTCGCTGACGTTATGGATTCATTGCTAATCTATCTCAGACTATTTTGTTCGATAGAGATGGATTCGTTGGGTCATACGGAAAAAAAATACATATTCATGCAATCACGGAAGGACTACCCGTTCGAGACCACACCAAAGTCGTGCGCTGAAGAATGTGTTATTTTGGTGACTACCGGAAGAGACGGAGAGATGGCACCCCCCTAGACCGATTTTCAAAGATCGATTACTCCACAACCACGATTGTCTGTACCGTACCGTATACCGTACCGCGGTATTCCGTAAGAGGCGGAGAGATGGAACCCCGCCTACACCGATGTTAACAAAGATCGATTGCTCCACAACCAAGATTGTGCAAACACCAAAAGTGGTGGTATTGGAAACATCTCGTCGACGGCTCTCTACGCACCCACTTGGTTACGGAACAATCGAGCTTCAAAGTCGGTCTAGTAGGGGTGTCATATTGTCGACCTGCTCCTTCCTCTATTTCGCATGAAACATGGCGAAGAAATTCGCTGCGCGTTGCGTTGCTGGCGCTGGCGGCCTTCATCCTGAGCTGTCGATACGGTTTTTGTTGTCTAGCGCCGCCCCGGCAGTGTCGCGCTCTCTGTCTCTCGCACACGCTCTCTATCCCTCACGGTCGTTTGTGGCTCATGTCGAGACAGGCTGCGGTGTGACCCATGTCGGTCCGTTCGAGTGGCCGTCTACAAAACCATACGCAATCTAGGCCCTACCTCAACGCAGGTGTGGCAAGCGGCATTCGGCTCCGTCTCACGTTCAAAATTACCCTACGCTGAGGCCGCAGTCTACTCCGAAACCCTTTCTACACGCTATAACTTGACACAGACAAGAATCGTTCCCGCTAGATCACGCGGTCATGCTACACTAACGCTAAGCCTTAGCCTCACTGTAGCTATAAGCCCAATCCTCGACCTTTCACTCTCAAGGTAGGCAGGGCAAGAGCCTTTCCATTCCATCCACACGGTCACGCTATCCCTAACCGTAGGCCTCACCCTATCTACGCCCAATCCTCAAACTTGAACTCTCCACGTCGGCGGGGCAAGAGTGGTTCGGTACGATCACAAGACCATATTTTTTAAGCCTGCACCTACGCCTAAACCCTTGCGATACCCAACTCCCAACCTCTAGCTCTCGACAGGGCAGGTGGGGCAAGAGGCGTTCCGTTCCATGACATGGTCATGTTAAGCATACGCCTCAAGCCCAACTAAGCCCAATCCTCAACCTGTAACTCTCAACGTAGGCCTAAGCCCAACCCTTGCTAAGCCCAATCCTCAACCTTTGACTCTCAACGTTTGCAGGCGGGGCAAGAGTCGTTCCGGTCCATCACGCGATCGTACTACCGGGGGGCGGCAGGGGCTTTGCTGGTATACGACATCACGCGCAGAGACACGTTCAACCACCTCACGCGCTGGCTTGAGGAGGCGAGGCAGAACTCCAACTCCAACATGGTGGGTGTGCTGAATGTACAACAACGACCCTCTTCGTAGACCGCTGCGGTGGGGGTGGGGGTGTTGCTCGGAGACGAGATAGACGGGGGGGGAAGAGGAGGGGGAGGGGGGGGATCATGTGGAGCGCTACCGGACGGAGAGGGTCCGCGTGCAAGTACAAGCCCCCTATATATACTCATATACCAATGTCTAGGCATGATTTGGAGCGCTACACGACGAAGACGGTCTGCATACAAACGCAAGCCCCCCATGCACATTTTATCCCAAAATCGGAACGAAAAATCAACCACGCCCTATAGGGTGTTTTGAGGATGTGTCTCGAAAGCGTCAGGTGTTTGTACTGGTCTGCCATACACGTGTGTCGCGACCGATTACTTGTCGCGACGCCGTCACCACACGCTTTGCACTACATACGTTCTGATGTTCCTTCGTCGTTTTTTTTTGTTTTTTGTTGCTCTTGCCTTGTTGTCGTCCGCGCCACCGGGCGACCCCGCTCTGCCCCTCCCCCCTCCTTGTCCTGTCGCTGTCTTGTGATGCTATTGCTGGTGCTGGTGCTGGTGCTGGTGCTGCTCTGGTCCTTTTTGTGATTCTATCGCTGGTGCTGGTGCCGGTCTGGTCCTTTTGGTGATGCTATCGCTGGTGCTGGTGCTGCTCTGGTCCTTTTGGTTGTGCTATCGCTGGTGATGGTGCTGGGTGCTCCTTCGTGGTGACGGGTGCCCGCGGCTCCGTTGCTGCCCCGAAACGCCCCCCACGTTCTTCCCGGCGTGACGAAAAAATATCTCGGAAAAACGGCCGGTTGGTGTGGAAATCCCCTGGCGACGAACGGGCGGGCTGTTCGATTGATGGGCCCAATCATTGAAACGGCTGACGTGTTCGTCTGCCACTGCTGTGGTTGGGTGGTGTGCGCCTGGCGGTGGATGACGAACCACTCTACGGGATGGATCCAACGAACGAACCTTTGGAACGATTGAATGGGCCAATCGGACCGGTGCCGTGCGACTTCCATGCGGATGGGCACGGACGATTGATGGACGGAATGGCGCAATGGGAACCGAAACGGGCGGTGGAATTAATCGAACCGCCCTCGAAATGTCTGCTGATTGGTCGGATCGATATGAACGGACTCGACAACCAACCGACACATGGGAATCGACTGGGCTCGCTGGACGAATGGACCGACGCGACGGAACGGAACGGAACGGAACGGAACGGGACGGGACGGGACGGGACGGAACGCGCGTATTCTGGGACGGTTGTTGGCTGCTGCTGGCTCGCCTGTCTGATCCGGATCGTTGTTAGGTGATCATGTTGATCGGGAACAAGTCTGACTTGACCAGCCGGAGGGCGGTAACGACCAAGGAAGGCGAGCAGGTACGCTGTCGCTCGCTCGTGTTTTCATCGCTGTGGTTTGGTGTGATGAAACACTGCGTTGTTTTGTTTTTCGAGTTTTCCATGGTACGGTGTGTCAAACGGACCAGCCTAAGGGCTGTAACGACCAAGGAGAGCGAGAAGGTATGCTGTCGCTCGCTTGTGTTTTTATCGCTGTGGCGTTTGGTTTGCCGGCGGTAACTACTACAGGACGGCGACCAGGTACGATGTTACTCGCTCGTGTTTTTATGGTTGTGGTGTTTGATTTGGCGTGATCGAACAGTGTTTGTTTGACGGAACACTGACGTGTGTTGGATTAGTTCGGTGTGGCGGATGGAACGCTGCGGTGTGTTCCGGGTTTTTCCACGATGGGGTTTGTCGCAAGATGTCTCGTGAAATGTGAGGCTTTGAGAATCGACAGCAGGCCAGAGGCTGTAACGGTACGCATCGAAAACTAACCCCGAGAGTGTTGAAACGACGCGGGGATAGCCCGCATCTTGTTTCTGCAATTCCCATACCTTGTACAATTGTAGGCCAACTGTGTTGTGCGGGGGCGTGTTGGGTGTACTTGATCTATATGTGTTCTGCGGGACCTCTGGGCTTTTGGGTATGGGTGAGTTAGAGACTGCAGGGCCGTCCCTGGCGCTTGAGTCTTACTGCCCTCGCTTCTGTTGTGGTTTGTGGTTTGGGTTTATGGTTCATGGTGGAAAGGTGGGGAGGATGATACCCGGGAGATGGGATGAGATGAGATAAGATGATATCTGATCTACCTCGAAAAAAGTTATTCTACTTGTTGTTTGCTCCTCGGACGACTCAGCGGAGCCCCCCACCCCCCACCCCGCCTGTTCGTTCCTCCTCGGTGTTTGTCCTGTTCGTTCTTTGCTTAGTTTGCGGAAGAGAACGGTCTGATTTTCTTGGAGACGAGCGCCAAGATGGCCACGAACGTGGAGACGGCGTTCATCAAGACGGCGGCCAAGATCTACGACAACATCCTCTCGGGCGTCTACGATCCGACCAACGAGGTGCGCTCTCGGAGGAGGTTTGATGGTGGTCGTGGCTGTGGTTGTTGTCGGTGGTGGTGGCGGTAGTGTCCTGTTGGCTTTTGTTTTTTGCTTTCGTCTGTCTTTCATCGCTGGTGGTGGCGTTGTACGGTGTCCTTGTTTTCTGCTGCTGCTGCTTCCGCTGCTGCTGTGGCTGCTGTCGCTGTCGCTGTCGCTTTGATTTGTCATTCCACTCCGTGCCCCCCCCCCTCCGCACACACTTACAACGATTGCGTCAAATAGGGTCGACTCCAACGCGTGTTCCGTAAAGGTTGGCGGATTTGGGTCCTTGGCGACCCTATTTCCACTGGTCGGGTGTGCGAAATGCGAAGCGTCTACGGTATTTCATGTTTACGGTATTCCATGTGTATGCATCCGTCCACGCACTCTAATGATGAGTGCACCCCCCCCGCCCCGTCCCCTAACCCTCCTTCGTTCGCCCTTCCTTTTGTGGGAACACCCTTTTCCTTTTCCTTGTCCCTCTTTCGAAACCCCAAAGGCTCACGGCATCAAGCTCGGGCCAGCGGCATCGCTCAACTACAACAACGTAGCCCCCCCCGCCGACAAGAGCAGCTGCTGCTGACAGCAGCATCGTTACGGCGTAGCGCCACACCGCGGAGATAGGATGGCGCAGCCATGGGGGGGGGGGGCTCTTCTACCAAACGACTAGGGGAAGGAAAATCCTCTTTGCTGCGTTGAGCGGAAGCGGCGAGAGCCCTCTGCGACGAAGGAGGGGGCTCCCCGGGAAGTGGCAGGGGGGGGGGATCCCCCAGGAGTCAGGGGAAAATTGGGGGGCGCATCCCTTGTGACAACCCTTGTCCCAATGGGGCCGCGCGGAAAAGTTGTTGAAAAAGAAAAAAGAAAAAAAACGTTCGTCCCATGGTGAAGGAAGAAAATGGTTTTTTTTTGGGTTTTTTGGGGGAAGCTTGTTTTGCACCAAAAAAAGGGTTGGCCCAAATAATTTCTAATTTTGTTCTCCCAAAAAAAAAAAAAAAAACTTTATTTTTTGGGATGTATTTTGGAACGTTTTTTTTTTCCCCCAAATT